TCTCTCTGATACGGCTGCTGCCCCTCCCTACACGCAGATCACGCAGACTCAAACCTCATCTTATGCCCAAATCCCAGCTGAGAGGGTCTTCTCTACAGCTGGCCTGATTGTGAATCCTCTCTGCACCCGCCTCTCCCCTGAGTAGACATGCTCATATTCTTAATGAAGAATGAGTATTGAATAGCTGCATTCTGTGCATAGGCCCTGTTATAGGTTGTTGATCTCTGTTGTGATAGGGTTACGTTACCCTAACCCGTTATGTTGTTCGTGTATGATCCCTCTTTCATTTCAAAACCAAGTTATGTTTTAAGCATGAAAGCTGTAGGCCTATAGCTGTCAACTGTTCAAACTGTGATCACCAGTTCAATACATTTGACTAATTCGTCTTGGTTTCTTTACTTATTTGAACATGTATTTATTTATCTTTCAAAATGTTTGTAAAATCTTTTTCCACTTTTTTTTTTTTTTTTAAAATAGGATATGTACATTTCGGTTAATCGGTTAACTGTTTTTTTGGGGGTCGAATATTCGAATATACATTTGCTTTCAAATTCCCATCCCTACTTCCTACTTGGCGCACCGGTAACTTTCTCGTGCGCACGAGAGGATGAGACCTTAGGCTGAGCCGCCGAATCCCTCGGAACATCATAAAAGCCATTTTCAACTGTTTTCTGGGGAAAGTTTAACAAGGCTACTGGATGAAATAATATGACTGGTATAGGTGCGAAAAAACATTATGATAAAATATTTGTATATATTTATAATTCTGCAAATATTACTCCGCTATTTCGCAGCCCAGTAGCGGTCCGTGGCCGGGGGTTGGGAACCCCTGCTGTTGGGCACTTGTGTTTAGGAAATAAAAAAAACTCACCTTGTGATAAACCCGTGAGAGAAAAAGCATTTGAGCTCCAAACTGTTTCAGAAATAATCCTTGATGTGGTTTAGAACAGGATGGCGTTTTATCACAGCAGAATTTAACTTGATCTCCGGTAGAATTCTGATCAGGCATTATCTCCGCCTCCTCTTTTTAAGCTAAGGACCCACAATCCGCATTTCTGTAACAGGGCTGCAAAAGAGGGGTATGAGCAGTAGCATGGCTACAATGGGTGATCTGTTTGGTATTTTAAGCAAAACACTTCACAGACATGTTTTGTATAGGTATGGCCTTACAATATATTTTTCAAATATAGCATAATAGGTCCACTTTAAGTTTTCAATGTCAGAAGCAAATTTATCAAAAGCAAGAAGCCATATAGAAGTAAACCTATCTGAAGATATCTAAAGACAGAGTATCTCTGTGTGTTTGAGTTAAAATGTGTGTTTCAGCAAGAGGTGATCGTCTAGTGTAGTGCCATGAAGATGAATATAGGTCAGATGCAAGGAGAAACCTCCATAGCCCCAAGGTCTAGATTTGATGACAGCATTTCTACCCAGTTTTCCTATAAAGGATTTTTTTGATGATAATATAATGTTTTTTTAATTAACTGTGGCAATGATATGGAACTAGGAGTGCACTCAAACAGCGTAAATGTTGCATTGCAGTGTTGATAAAATACTTTTTTCTGGGTATATTTGAGTATCCGCCGTATATTTTTGGGACCACTTTAAAAATTGAATAGGGTTTTTTTTGGTAATCCTGCCTAGAAAACAGATAAAAACCGTCCGAGATGAGTTTACAACATCATTTCTGTGAACCTGGTTTAATTTCAAAATCTCTCAACTTTTAAAAAGTCTCATCGACAAGCAGACGTTGCAAAAAGGGACTCATCTTATTATCAGGGCGGTCTCTCATCCAGCTGATAACGTGTACAATAAAACTGTCAGCAACACTATGTCACGGTCCAACAGTCCCACACACTCCCCGTCTCTGCTGCCAAAAAAAGCCATTTAATTGTGACAGCTTCAGTGACGGCAGACTTAGCGAGATTTAAATAACAGTGATTATTAATTAGATAAAATAAAGAATGTTTATAATGGTGGATAACATCGCAACGCTGTAGTGTATTTATATAGAACCTTTCAACACAAGGCAATTCAAAGTGCTTCACAAAAATGAAAGACATTCAGGAAATGGTCATTAAAAAGCAAAGATAATAAAATAAACATTAAAAGTTAAAGGGGACCTATTATGCAAAACGCACTTTTTGATGTCTTTTATACATAAATGTGTCCCCGGTGTGTCAGGGAACTCACAAAGTGTCAGAAAACAAAACCCTCTCTCTTTTCCTCCGTACCCACATCTCAAAAAGAAAGAAGGGGGGTGCCAACAAGCAGATCCAGAATTTCCGCTCCCATTACTTCATTGGCGACATCCGGCACACGCGACACGTCCCAACCTATCGTCTCCGGCACACGCGGCACGTCCCAACCTATCGTCTCCGTATACAGCTGTGTGTCTGTGTATTGAGCAGGACGTCTGCTGGAGGCTTAGAGTAAAGTTGATTTTATATATATATATAAAAATACATATAATGGCACTGTTCTAGCAGTAAACACTTAAGAAAGAACATGTCAGGCTATGTGCTGTATCAGAAACAATGCGCGGTGTGTTTTGGGAGTAATATGCCGTGTGTTTACATTAGCAAGCATGCTAACACTCAGAGCTAACCATGGAGCTAACGCTGTAGGCTACTGGAGAGAATATGTGTAACGTAATGTCCTTGTGGTAAACCCTGCGAGAGAGAAAGGTTTGAGCTCCATACTGTTTCAGAAATAAAGCTTGAAGTGGTTAGGGGCATAACATGGCATTTAATCACCGCAGCGTTTAGCTGAGATCTCCCGGTAGCAGGGGAAAGCTGCGTGATGCTACAAAGGGGCGTGGCTAGCAGCAGAA